GGGGGGAGGGAGAGGAAAGGTTTCCAACTATGACTCAATCCGAAGGCTCGATAATGCTGACAAGTTCAACAACAAACGGAATTGCTAGGGTTTTTAGAAATAAAAGTCTGCGGTTCTATAGATTTCGAGTTGTGGCGGATTCCAAGAAGAGTCGATGGCACGCCTGACCCTTGAAAATATCTGTTTGTCATGGATTTTCGGGAGGTGGATGGCGGAATTCGGGGGAGTTTTGGAAGGTACCGATGGTTGCTTCCAGAACTCGGAAAGGCCGATTTTGTGGGAAATTGGTGGAAGATGACTAGTCAAAAATATTTCCTTGCGAATATCATGAGATGGAGTAGATTGTTTGACATTACTTCCAGGATGGCTTGTCTCTCCACAGTATAAAAATCTAAATCGACTTCTGGTGATCAAAATTTAGTACTCGAAATTCAGACTCAACGATCAAGGATCACAAGCGTCAAAATAAGGGTCACGCGAGGGTCAAAATAACGATGATGAGGATCAGAATAAGGATCACAGGGATTCGATTAAGGAACATGAAGGTTAGAATAAGGGCTACGAGGGTCGCATTCAGGATCACAGCGGTAAGATTAAGGGCCACAAGGGTCAGAATAAGGTTGGTGGCGGTCATATGGGAGTCATATGTGGGTGATAAGGGGGTTAGCGAGCGGAGCGATCCTTAGGCGGATCCTTAGAAATTTATATTGGCAGTCTTCACGTCATTTTCCTAATTATTTATCATTCAATTTTCAAATGGTCCCTACGTTCTAATTATTCGGAGAATCTCAACACTTAAACTTCCATTGGATTGTACATTACAAATTCTTGGTCCTGGTATCTGTATTTTGAAACTCATCCAATAATAGATAAGCAATTTGGCTTTTTTCATTACACTTTCTGGTGGTAATTAAATCTGTAATTTTTTATTCCTCATATCAACATGAAAATTGTTCAGGATGAGTGTCCGCTTAACCCTAACTCCGCGTGTGGAATTGCTGGCACTAGGCCCTAATGTAGAGACCTACTGTGCTCATTTAGTCAGTGTGATAGATGGATATAATAGGAACCTGCAATATCGGCCGGCTGTACGACTGAGGTCTTCCATGGTTTCCCTGACAGCCCTAGCTCAAATGGGGTGCAGCCGGGTAAAGAGTAAGACTGCCTATGGTAACGCAAATAAGGGGAGTCAAAATAAGAAGAGAAGAGTAGACCGTCATATGACGCATTTGCATCTCTAATAGACCCCGTGCTCTGGTCTTCTCACTCTGGCCCCCCACTACTGACCAGCGTACCCAGAGCTGGAATACATTCCCCCCACTGACTTTAGGCACGCGATGAGAGAGTCACTCACAACTCTCGATCTGTTCCTATAAAATATTTTGTATAAATTCATTGGTGCATTCTCGAAGAAATTTTGTTGCACCGGGAGGAAGTGAGATAATTACTTGAGGCATATAAAAATGCTTTCCTTTCGAAGTACGCTGGCAGACTCTGAATTCCTGAGAGGAGCTCTCTCAACTATAGAATGAAAAAAATTAGCTCGATGCATGGGGGGACCTTAAACATCGAGTTAATATTTGGGCAAAAAAAAATTTTTTTTCAGATATTAAAAGTTTGATGAACGAATAAATTTAGAAATGCATCTTCTCCCGTATGTTACGTAATTGAGAAGCGAAAATTTCAGATCATATTCAAAAAGCTATTTCGAAAAAAAACTACGTTGAGAATTTTCGTTAAGTTGATTTTTCGATTCAAAAAAATTCGATTCACCACTTTCGAGTGGTAGGAGACAATTATCAGATTCTTGAGGAAAAATCGCACGGAAAAAAGTACTCTTAAATTTTTTTCTCGAAACACTAAATTTTTTTTCCCGGGGCGAACCTTCCCTTAAAACCACCCATTTCACAATCTCTCCCTCGCCAAACCCTCCAATAACCAAATTTCCGCAAAATTACAACAGCAAAAAACATCCGTACGATCAATAATTCCCTTTCCCTCCACGCGCTAACTCTCTCTCGCACCCTCGTGCGTAAAAACCGACCGCCGGTGTTGCAAAATTCCCTTGGGCGTAAGTATAGTCTCGAGGTCGGGCAAAGAGAGAAAAGCGAAAAAAAAAACCACGAGTGAGAATAAAAAAAAACAGCTACGGGAAGGGAAAAAGTGACTCTCCCGGCCGGGAGTCGTGAGGGGAAGGTCCGGGAAACGCGTACACATAAAAGGGCGGGGGAGGGGGGGGGGGG